ATAATTTAAAAAGAAACTAATCTTTCTAAACTAAAATAAAATTAACTGATATTGAATAAGTTAAAAATTAAATTAAACAAAAAAACACTTTAAACCTTTGTGTTCTAAAGGTACATATTAAAAGATTTTTAAAAATAAATAAAATTCACTATTAAAGTGAGGTCAATCAAAGAGAAACGCTAATTCAGCGAAAGATGCGGCGACTCACATGGTATCTGACTTGCAGATTTCAAATTTGCCATGCCATACTTTCACGCTGAACGAGGAATTGCTGTCAATAGCTTAAGCAGCCTTTCACGTGGCTCGAAGACATTGTCTCAGGCTTGTGCCTGCACCATCGTTGCAGCAGCCAGACCGTTGAGTCGTTGTCCCATATGGTGACATACGAAGTATTATATTGCTGTATATGATTCATTTGGGAATTTCTAAGTTTGCTCTCATGACAGAGAAGGGTAAAAATGTATTTATAATATTTTTTTATAATTTTTTGTATTAAAAATTTTAAATATAATTTTAATTTTATTAATTATTTAATGAAAAATATATGTAATATTAGCGATAGAATTAAAATTAATTTTTGTGAATTTTCATAAAAATTAAATGTAAAAAGATGAATTAATGTATTCTTAACATGTGTATAAAAAATACAAATTAGACAAACACTTTTATTAATTAAATTTTCTAATATATATCATATATTTTTTTTATGAAAAATAAAAAAAACATATTAAATAATAAAAAATTATAACAGAATCTTCATCTCATGATATTATAGCCAAAAACAAAATAACCTAAAAACAAAACTAGAAATATAACCTATAGCACCAGTAACAAATTTGAATTATATCAATAATGGATGTAGACAATTAAACAAAAAGAACCATCTAAAATTAGATATTGAAATTACAATTGTGGGGAGTCACTATGAGCATTAAAACTACTAGACATTCTCACTTATTTAACCATTTTGTTGGGGAGAATAAGGGATTCTAGCAATAAAAGTTCCCAACACGCAAGTTGTTGCCCTACTTATTCTTAAAGAAGAACAAACAAGAGGGGTATGGGCCTTCTCTAGACAAGCAAAAAGCCCCTCAATCACCTACATATACTCCTAATCATATTCTCATCTTTGCCGATCCTCTTCAAACCTATGCTATTGAAACTCCTTAAAGGAACTTAGAACCCCTTTGCCAGCTTGAATATCAGGCTTCCTATGCAGACCATAACCGGCCTCACGAACAGCATCCCTTTCCTTCTGCAATCGACTTACTAATCAGAAACTGGTGTGAACCATATTTCGCCCAATTCAACCCCTACCTAGATCTCATCCAAGAAGATGCACCAAAGTAAGATTCTTGCCCGTAAAATAGGAGAAACCTACTCCACCTGCAAGATCAATTCCAATTGCAGCCTTTAAAAATCAACAGATGTAAACTCCTAGAAACCCAAATATGCTGCTACCTTGTGGTCCCTTGGATTGGAGTTTCCAAAGCAAGACAATGACAAGATGAAAGAGGAGATCAAGAGGAGGAAGGGAGGGGTAAGAAGAAATGAGAGATGAAGGATGAAAGAGGAGATCAAGAGGAGGAAGGGAGGGGTAAGAAGAAATGAGAGATGAAGGAACTCTTCTGAGAGAAACTCTAAAAAGAAAAACCTATCACCATTGCTCTCAACCCTATAAGCAGTGCATGGGAACTATATCATAAATATCATTAATTACTTCGGGTGAGGTGAAAAATTCACAATCAAACAAAATTTAACAACTGACAAAATCACAACCGAAAGGTAAGATTTAATTAAATTTTAGATTTGCTTGATTAAAAATTAAATTGAACTAATTTAAAATGATTTAGATTTTAGCTATTACATCTAACAATTTAAAAACCAATAATTTAGATAAGTCTAACTAAAAAATTTGATTTAAAAACTTTTTATATTAATTTTTTAATCATTTCTCAATTTTTTTTAAAAATTTTTTTAAAAAATTATTTATTTTTAGGA